CTATACAAGCTATGTCATGTACATGTAACTGGTGCTACATCTGATCAATGTTAAATATAATGTAATATTATATATATCTAACTGTTTGTCGGGTAGGATTTACTTGACCAACCAACCAACCTGGCAGGCGATCTGCACTGCCCGCTCCTGTGACCGTGGGATCGCACGGTCGGGTGCGACGGTCGCTTGCAGCAGCACCACGGTAGCCAGGCATAAGGCGATCCGGCAGCAGCGCCTTCGGTGGAGACTCGGTGCTTCGTTCTGAGACGGCCACCGGGTGGCACCGGTGTCCATGAGTTCGGGTTTGAGGTCCAGCCTAAGAACAAAACATGGTCGGGAAAAACTCACCTGAGCCGCAAAATGGGAACCGTTTCCTCCTCAAATAGTCGACCTTCCATGCTTTGGTGAGATGCTTTCGGGTTCGGACCTGACACCCGAAGCCAAGCCTTCAGCCAGTCGTCTGGAGTCGAAACCGGCCAACCGGCACCTGTTCGGTGGTCACGGGTCCAACAAACACCTCCAGTAGGGTCCAGTAGGGTCGCGGGGCCAGGGCGGATGTTTCAAAATCCAACCTCCTTGGTAGTGAAGGCCTCCATCGGTCCCCAACGTCCATGTGACTCTCCCAATGGGACCGACTTGGGGCGGAAGAGACCAGACCGTACTAGGCTGGGGCCGCAAGAGGACGGGAATAGGAGACGGCCTTCGTAGGTTGAAACATGTTGAAAATAGATGCCAGTTCATGTAGTTCATGTCCCAATGAACAGATTGTATATCGCTTCCTCAAATCCAAGTGGGTCAATCAAGTTATGGTTTTGAGAGATTTTTTGGAATAAGACCAAAGAACAACTCCAAACGGCAAAAAGACCTGCGCCTGCTGTACCAGGGATGATCCGCGGAGGCTCCCATGTCATGGTAGCAGCGAAACAAATCAACGCGTGACGGTCACGCGCGACGGTCACGCACGACCAGCACTCACCCGCGACGTGGAGTTTGGATTTGAAGGTTCTGAAAGGGTGCATGATTTTCGGGCGTGGGACTGAGAGGAAAGTGAAGAGCTAAGACTAGAGCTAAGCGACAAGTTTCGACCAAGAACAGTTGTGAGGTATGCACCATGAATTCGGCAACATACATGGACATGTGAAACAGCTGGCACGGGTTGGAACTCTTCGGAGAAATGGATGAACATGGTCGGTCATTGTCAGGTACCTTCTGAGCTCGAGTAGTTAGTAACTGCATCTATCATCATCTATCCTTGCCGAGTGGCTGGTTGCATCTTGTTCCTCACTTGCTTTATGCCGTGCTGTTTGAGCGTTCAGGCGGTTTCGGCGGGCGTAGCAAAAAGCGCAGGCCTACGAGGTCCTGACCAAGCGTGGCTGACCAAAGCCCGGCTAGATTGCCGTAGGCCATGAAACCCTCGAAACCCTAGGGTTCTTACAAGTGAAACACCGGTTTTCAGGATTCTGGAGATGAGAGCCTGATTCCCTCATGATCACCCATGCAAAAACAGCTAAACAATGCTTAAAAAATGCTGTTTAAGCCTCAAAGCACTCCATGGTGTTCCTGGTGCTCCAACTCCCTCAGATTCCATGGAACATGAAGATTCATTATAGCATGATTATATACTGTAACCTGTTTCAACGTGTTCTTGCTCCAGTGGGATAAAACCAATACACCCCCCGCAATGGCCGGCAGCAACCAGTGATCCACCTCGACCACGGTCCGTGGCCCTGCCCCACTCCGGCGGGTTAGTCGATGTTCAAACGGCCCAGACAGACTGACCGCCATGTGTGTTTTGTGGTTGATGCCGGCGGGCCAGGAGCACGTGAAGTATAGAAGTACCCCATCTGACTGGCATACTTCTATACTTACTTCTATATCATGTTAATACAACGTTATAATGTTAGCCCAATTATTTTTTTCACAGTGGATGAGTCTTTCTCACTGAGACCCATGCTTCTATATAATGTTAGCCCAAAGTTTTCACAGTGGATGATGAGTCTTTCTTACTGATGAGACCAGAGCTCTAGACGTCTTTTCAACGAGTCCGTGGCTTGGTGAGTTGATCCTGCCCGCATGTTGAGGTGAGGATAGGTGAGGTATGGGATAACCATCCTCAGGTTGGTGACCAGCCGGCTAGTCAAGCCCACATTCTAATGATGGAAACTTCACGTCATTTCATGTCAAACACTTCTTAGCACCAAGCTATGGAACAAAAAGGACACAAGTTCACCTGATACAAGAACACTACAGTTGTACAACACCATGAAGCAAAGCTTGTTATGAACTTGGATGTCACTCTGTTCGTGGGGTAGCGTCAACATGCCAACATGGAGTCAACCTCAAGGCCCGGCTAAGCCAAAGCCTTCACTTCTGCCAACATAGTCACCGAGCAACGGGTTTATATAACAGTGCTATTGACGACTGAAATCTGACTGACTTCTCTTGATCAAAGAGTTCTGCCATACCTTGAACCCTTGCCTGCGCCTCACCGTCCCTGTGCTCCAGGATTCGCGGTCCAGGTACTGGAACCAAAAAATGACACATCTTCCGCTGTTCACCAACAAAGATGCAATGGCCGCAAGCACTCGAAGTCAAAAAAAAGGAGCCCGCGAACAAGTCCCTCTGCTTTTTCAGGGACAACCCTCCCGGTTTGACCTCCCCATCAAAGGTCCACCCCATGCTTCACCAAAGGTCCCTCCCCTTCACCAGATCGGCGCAGGTCCACCCGGCCCACCTTGGAGAAGACGATGGCGGCGTCACTGGTGCGGAAGTGCGTGTTGTGAAGGCACGCGTCCTGCCGACGGCCATCGCCGCTCAACGGGCGGACGCGGGCGGAAAAAAACCGTGGGCGGCGACCTGAACGGAGGTTTGGTGGGTTGGACGATGGGTTGGACAAGGTCTCCATATTTGAGGATGTACTTGGAGCAGGCGACGCATAAGCGTATGATATGGTATGCATGAAGGAAGAGGCTGCTTTGTTTTGAAGGGCAAAAAGAAACATAATGGAAAGGCAAATGAGGATTGCAACCCCTGCTGCTCCACCAAGGGAATTTCCAATGAGTCGTAGTGAATATAGTCTTGTCATGGTATGTCATCTGGAGCTTGCTTCTAGGCTTTCAAATGTGACGAATCAGCAGAACTCCTACCCGAAAGAACTGATCTGTTGCTGGTCTGGATTGGGTTTTAGGAAGAAAACCTGCAGGTTTGTTTGTACCCTTGCGGGTGCTTGCTTCTTGGGAAAAACATGGGTCTACCGGCCACTACCGGCCAAAGCAAGCGGCCACCCCCGCAAGTCTTGGACGACTTCAGTTGCCATTGGGCGAACTGAGCCGGTTCTTCTCCAATAAATGAGTGCCTTCGATTGGAACACTGCCTTATAATACATGGTCTACCCGCATTCAGGGTTCGTTGTTGTAGGCTTCTTCTAACTTACTTTTCTGAGGTGAAACACTGAAACACACAGACTGCACTCCTCCCCGTTCGCTGGAGCTACGAAGCTTTGAACCCTGGTCGTCCCCCCTTCTCCCGGAACTTCTCCCCAAGAAAAAAGGAAGCCAAATGATGTCAAATGATCAAAACCAACATCAAAAGTGCTCCAAATGTGCCCTTCCGCAGCCTCCTGGACTGAACAAAAGTGCTGTGAAGCAGTTGCCAACATCGACTGAAAAGAACAACGACAGTCCTTGCAGAACTTGTAGAACCTCACAGTGGATGGCGTCTCAAAGCAAAATTCGGGGTCAAATATTGAGGTGCAATGCCTAGAGATCCATATAGGGTTCTATAATGTGTGGAGCATCCTCATGAATGCTTGGCATGGCGATGGCATCGAAACAAAACCACCTGCAGGTATCGGTCGGTGCATGCAATCTATATGAATGTTTAGAAACATGTTCAATTCAGAAAAACGTTTAATGGAACAACTACCTCATGGCTGATGTGGTTGCTGTTCTCTGAGTTTCTCATCCCCGGAGTAGTTAGAACAGCTGTTGCAGGTCCAAGCCAGTAATTGTGTTGTATACTTAGGATGACTGTCAACCCTCAGCCAACCCACACTCCCACTTGTCTGGGGGGTTCGATCCAGGGCAATTCACTGCACAGGGCCAATGGTGCCAAGCAAACTTTGAGACAAACCGTCGCTCAGCACAACTGAGTAACATGCTCATGAACCACGTCGGCGTCTCACGCTCTTGTACCTGCCATATTGCCCCCAAGGAGACAGCTTTTGGTTTCAAAAAACAGTTAGGTGCTTGTGTGGACACCTAGTGCACTATATATACCATCGTCTTGGGCACGCGCTGGCGGGACATCTTTGGTACCAAGGAACTCTTGGCTGGACATCTTCTCGTTGAAGCCGTTGAAGTGATTGAAGGCATCCTGTGCTTCTCAGCTTCGCAAGTCTCGCTCCATGGACGCTCGCGTTTTGGTTGGATACGGTTGGATGCAGGTTGGTTGGCTCCCCCAAACCACCCCAACTGATCAGCATATATTGGCATACATGGAGCGTATGCCATCGCGTATCATCATCAAACTGCAGCGTTCCCATCCCATCAACCCAAACATTCTAGGGGGCGTCCCATTGAAAAACGCTTACTACGACGTGTTCTTGGTACGTCCCATTCAGGCATTCGCTCCAGCACGCTCGGCGCGGTCCTTCACCTCCTCTGGGACGCTCCTGTGACGGACACGTAGTGGGCGACGGAGGACGATCCACGTGGTGAAAGAAAAGAACATACAAACACGCCCTACCTGGGACTGCCAGGACGGACTGCCGCCCCATTGACCCCCCCCCCACCCCTGGCCGTTTTGAAGGCAGTCCGACATGGCAGTCCGGTCGTGTCTGGGACATACAGACCAGGACCCGACTTGACAGGTCACCACCTGCGACTTTTGAGGTCAGCAAAAGCCTCCATTTCGGAGACCTGGTGAGTCTCGGGTGCTGGTGCATGCATGTATCTACCATGATCGATGACGCATCTGGGTCTTAAAATATATGTTTAAAGACATCCAGATCCGTCACAAACAATGCTTTCATCCTTTGTGCGCTTTGTGACTGTGTGGTCGTAAGAAAACATCTTCTAGAACAGCGCCAATAATATATTAGGCCTTCTTTCAGCCACCGCCAAAGGAGGACCTACCGAGCGAAGTCGGTGCCCTCCAAAAAGTCGACCCAAGCATTTCTGTGGACCCCGACAGGTCCGCCAAAATGTTCGTCGTCGTTTCAGATCCGTTTCATCGGTGGCCCAGTTGGTGGCCCAGAGGCGAGGATGGAGCTTTAGGCCAAAATGCGGAGCTACATGGCAAACATGTTGTGCTATGATGGATCTTTCAACTATGCAACATGCAAATTTGCATGGGTGGTTTTATAGATGAAAATGCATTTTGCACAGTTGGAACATCCTATATAGGTAAGAGTAATTAAGCTGACTCCCTCAAGTATCCCAATAAAAAAACATATTATGATCAAGACCTGAATTCCACCTGTCCTTCTGGAGTGCGGCACGAGTATCACCCATCTTCCATCAAAAAGCAGGACGTCTTGCGTCCAGGATCCCACAGGTCATTCACCCGAAAATCCCCTGGGACTTCCGAACCACCCCGGACCTCGCACGCGGCTCGCACGCGGCTCGCGCGCGGCTTCCACGCGGCCACGCGCTCCGGTGGCTCTCCGCTCCCGCTGGGCCCGCTGGGCGTCCCGGGCGGTTCGTCCTGGTTGTCGAAGACGTAATCGCAGAACCTCGGTCGACGGCGCGGTTCCGGCCCCTGAGCGCCCGGTGAAGCGTGCTCGGCGTGTTCGGTTCTGCAAGGGGGTTGGGGCATAGAAACACATGCGACCGGAATGTGAGTGGAGTCCATTCAGGTGGTGTTCACGGTGTTCCTGACAGGGCCCACCCCGGTAAATGTTAGAATGGACTGAGTCCTGCAACAGACTGATTCATTTCGAATCACAACACGGTTCCGTGCAAGCAGAAACCGTTTGGCCACCCAATGCGACCAAACGGGTCGAAGAACACCAGCCAAAACCCGGTGCCTCGAAGAACGGCCAAATGTTATCCATTTCTATCCATCATTTACTATCCATTTCGTGCTCTCCCCTACACTCTCCTGCTACCCAATCGTCAGCAAAACATCTTGCTGCTTGGAGCGGCAAGCCACTCTTCAGACTCCGACTGCGATGGGGTCGTTGTCCCGTTGTCTCCGGAGTTCCCTCTGGGCTGCCCGGGCTCGCCGAAGTCGATCCGGCCGTCTTGGTTCTGATCCTCGGGTTTCCACCACGTGATCCGGACGGCCCCGAGGATCACGTGGGAAGTGGGCTGGAACGGGGAGCCCGCAAGAAAGGTCCTAGCCAGACGCGACTCTGGACCCTCCTAAGTAGGGGCCGGACCCTCATATGGAGGGCGTCCGGACCCTCAAATCCCTAGGGTTTTGAGGCACCAAGGGCTGTTTGGAGCGTCTGGGTACAAAACATCAAGAGTTGGGCCCCTTACATTGAGTCTTACGTTGAATACTGTTATATCGTCCAATAGTGAGCCACTTCTCATTGGCCTTTCCACGCTTCAGTTTTTCTCAAGATTCACTGGTGTCCGCGGCGCAAGCGCCGCAAGCGCTGTGTCTGTGGGTGCAACCGTCGGGTGCTCTAGATCGGTCGTGAGACGCGCCATGCACCAGCTGCAGTGCCATGTGCACGTTGATGAATCAAACACCCCATTCACAAACACTCCATGTATGCCATACATTGACCCCCAAAACCATCCCAATGTAGGCATATATGGCATACATGGAGTGTCTGGGATTGGGATTGTAAAACCTCGTCATCTCCGGGATGATTCATCAACGGTCTACCATGGTCTACCTCAATGTCCAGTCGACCATCTTTTAAATGGTCGATCTGGTTTTGGTGCAAAACCCGTGTAACCATGGTGCTTTTGGATTCGGGCTGTTCAATTTCATGGTGCTTCGACAACCTTATCGTACCTTAGGGTTCTTAAATGGGGGTAGAAATGATGGTCGGCAATTTCACGTATGGATGGTGACAAACGATCTTCACATGACTTTTAGCCTTCACATGCTGAAGACGCATAGAAAAACAACAACAACCACAACCACACAACCTATTGAAGATGTGAGATACGAGCATCTGCATCAAATGCACGAGATTGACACTCCCTAGGTCCGACATTAAGATCATTGGAGGTATAGATGTCGAATGACTCAGAACTCGCTTCAGAACTCGCTTCCTTGACTTCCGGCCACGGGTGTCGGAGCTCGCTTCCGAGCCGAACCGAACCGGTGCCGCGCTGTCAGCGCGCGGGACCCGGGGAGTCGGTCGACCGGGTGACCCGGGCGATCTCGCGGAAGAGCCGCCGCACCTCGCTCTCCTTGGGAGAAAGGTCGAGGACGGGGAGAGATGCTCCGATTCCCACGGCGCGACTTGCCGGGCGCCAGACGAAAGACCCCCAAACCGGCCCCACCCCACCACGCCTATCCCTTTCGACCGGCAGTCCCCAGTCCCAGACAGGCAGAGAGGTCGTGTTTGGGATCGGAATGCCCAAAAGACCTTTCTCGACAGTTCTTCATCCGGTCGATCGGTCAGTCGACCTTCAGAGGTGCGACACATGAGAACGGGTCGTGTGGCGTCAGGCCATTCCTAGGGCATCCGTTCAGCATGTCCCATCAAAAACATCCTTATGTCGTCTAGTCCCGGTGTCGGATGGTCCTAGTGGTATCCCACTGAGGCGCCCTGGTGATCTGCAGGCGATGATCGGCCATACCTGGATCTTCCAACTATGCAGCCTTTTGGCTGTTTGTTAAATAGATGAAAAGGCAATTGTTGTCACAGTTGGAAGATCAAGGTATATATCCACTAAGGCCCTAGGATTCGAATAGCCAAAGAATGATGATTTTATGGAATTTTGAGACACTGCCAGGTCGTTCCCGTTCTTTTGGCTAGGGTATCAGTGTGCCCAGATCAGTCATTAAACCGTGTCCCAGGTGCGGAGTTCACGCCCAATTCGATCGGGCTTCGAGTGTGCATGAGAATCCTACCGGAGCGGTCCCGTCCACAGATACTTCCTGTAAGTACCTCCCGTCCACGGCTCGCTTGGCGATGCCATACCCCACCGGTTCAGCCCGCCGGGACTGTGCCGGGCGGCTCGCAGGGTCGGATCGCCCTTCTTCAACAAGGCCGACCTGTAGAGCGTCGCGTCGCGGCGGACGTGTTGGGGGCCCCCGGGTGTTCGAAGGACTGGGCCTTTCCCGGAAAGGAGCCGGTTTTGCGGTGGCGGAGGACGATTTGCTAGTACCATGAGTCATGGGAATGTGGAAACAAACGGAAACGGTGATGAGGTACGGGACAACGGCGGCGCGCAGCTTGAACAAACACTGCCACCTAGGTGGCATCAAGAGGGTGGTGAAATAGGACGGCGCGGCGTCCTAAAAGAAATCGTGGCCGAGTATTGATCGAAGACTCGGGTCGTCTTAGTCCCGTTGAACTGATGAGTTGGGCGATCGGATTTGGCCTCCCCTCTGGGCGATCTGGTCTTGGAAGCGGGTTCCACGATCCGTCGACGAGAGTCTGGAAGGGGTCTGTGAGTCGGGCGCCTCTTCCAGGAAGACGCGGGCGGGCCAGCACTGCTCGGTGGGAAGAGGGCCACTGCAACAATTCGAATATCCATGTTTTCGCCTGCCATGGATATACTGCATCTTTCAATGTGAGCAGGATGTCAGAATGTGGCATGTAAACGTGGTGTAAACCATAGAGGCCCGGCACTGGGGTTTACACGAAGATCCCTCTGACAATGATGGGGTGGCATCCTCCTAAAGAAGTGACTACTTTGTTGAGCCATCGTAGGGAACATGAAAGTGATATGTACTGTGATATGTGTATTAATTTATATATTATATTTCCGTGTGTTGGAACACTTCCACACAGATCTATACTATCTAAATACATATTCGAAGATGGCTAGATATTCGAGGAGCATTGTCCAGATAAAGTGCTGGAGCGCTCAACCACCTCATACTGAATGAAAAGATCCTGACTACCCTGGTATTAACATGTCCTGACCAAATTCTACCCAGCCACTTCAACCTCTGTGAACCCTGAACTCAAACTCAAACGCTGAAAAGAACCTCAGATTGGAACCCAAGGATTCTTCAGAGACTTCTCATTGTTGTCAGATAGAAACGGTTTCCAGTGCATTCTTGTGAGGATCGACGTATCTATCTAGTTGGAGGTCTATAGGGGACAATTGTCTTCCACGGGTTGATTTTTGAGGGTCCATGTTACTCAGGGGTAAGCAAGCAAGTCTGCCTGGACATTTACAAAGGACAAAGCTGTTCCTTCAGAACAAGGTGTAGTTGCTTAGAGCTCTGCCTCTTGGCACCCGGCAATCTGGCACATGCCCCACCCCAACAGAAAATAACTTACAGCGATGGCAAAAGTTGTGTCTGAGACCACCCATTCATTTCAGGTCTATGATCATTTAGCAACTTGTGTCAGTTTGTTTCACCTGCTATTGATGTATTGTTTCAATGTACAAACGTAAAGGTTATGCCTCACCCGTGGCCCGCGGGCGTATGGAATTGCTCATTTCTATGCATGGCTGCTATTGATGTCTCAAAACTCTCATTCTGCCTCCAAGCGAGTCCTGCCTCCAAGCGAGTTCGTCAGCATCCTTCACAAGACCGTCACCGAGACCGTCGCCCTTGCGCCGGGATCAAGTCGTCAGCACATTTGGGGCGCCCGACAGTTCTTGGAAATCCAGTTTCCTCGGTCCAGTCGGTCCACCCGACTCCGAAGCAGTCGGTCACCCATGCGACGAAAGCCTAGCAAGCAAGCAACAGCCCCAGGAGGAGGTTCCCGTGCCATCAGGGGGGGCCGTCCGATTCTCGGGTCCGTCCGCCGTGGTCTCGGACAACACGTTTGGATCCATGCAGTGACCTGTCCACCACGTCCCTTGGGCAGTGGGCAGAGCGAAGCAAGGACGAAAACAAAAGACTAGCCCAGTGACGGGTACCCCAGGTTTTCCGGGTCCTATAAGGTCAAGGTCACCTAACCTCTCTGACGTCTCTGAGGTATATAGAGTTCTGAACGAAAACATGCCCAAGACTCATCTTCCCACATGATGGTGACCTTATTTGGGTGCATTCGTCCTTCATCTGGCCCGAATATGGTTTAAACATGTTTAAACAACGAACATCTTTGGGTTTGCACCTTGGGTTTGCGCCATCTACTCTGAAACCACTGCAGGTGCAGTTTTGGCTATTGTAGGGCACTCCGAGACCAGTAATTAGACTGAGTAGGGGATCACCACAACATCTGACCGCGCCAAGCTTCCCATCTCCGCTGACGTCGCCTCTCTTGAAGCGGGCCTTCACGGCCTGCGAAGAAGCCAGCGCGTTCCCGGAATTCTGACGTGGTAGGCTACCCTGGATTCGGCCCTTCCTGCCGGTTTCCCCAGATGATGCGGAGCTCAGCGATCCCAACTGATGATGGCGAAGCTTGCGTCGGGACGCAATGATCCCCTCTTGGAACTCAATATCATACGGAGTACTGACACCGAGACACCGATGGTTGGTTGATGGGGGTCCATATAAAGCACCGAACTTGGGGTAACTTGTACCATTTACTCTGAGACCACTGTATTTTACTTTTGTTCATTTTGATATAATATTGATGATCATTGATGATTCACTTGGGAGCCAAAAAGGCCATCTGTAGCATTTCGATGCATTTCGAAACAACTACTGACTTACCCGAATTGTGAACCCTCCTGCCCTTGACCCGAATCTTTCCCATTGGAGGACCCGGATTCTTAGGGTAGGTCTTGGATTTGCTTGCTCAGAAGCCGGCGAAGTAAAACAATCTTCCCCAGAAGGGCATTGACCGGGAACACATCTCCCTAAGCAAAATCAAGTCTTCTTTGTCTCTGCCAACGGTCTGGCACGTTTTTGCGCCTTGCAGGTCTTGCCTTTCAGCGATCTCAGCATGGGGGCCAAAAAAAAGAGGCAACGGCCTATAGCGATGCAACGGCGAGGAAATCCCGTCCTCAGTGGAATCAACTCAGTTAAACAGTCTTGACTCAGTGATGCGAGCTTTCGAGCAGGTGTCGGTTTCTCCACCTCCAATCAAGAGTTCAGTCATGCGACACGATACAGAAATGAGAGATGCTAAAATGATCCAAAATGTATTCCAAATTTCACATGCAAAAGCAGCCCTTTGCTAATGTGGCTCGGGCCTGATACAATTCTCCTGCCCACACCTTCATCCGAAAAGCAGCGATATGGACAAGCCAACAGGCCAACATGCGGCACCCAAGCAAATCAACCACAAAATGTAGGGTAACAAGCACCCCAAACAAAACACCCCGGGGAAGAACACCCATTCTGACACATCCGCGGAGCCCATAATCTGCCTTGTATAAATTGACATGTTGACTGGAACTGGGTATAAGGAACGGGTGCTTGTAGAATCTTGTAAATCATCCAAAACATAACCACTGGCTATGAGTAGCTAGGTGAAAGGAATTGCTGCAGCATTGGTGGATCCCATTTTCCTCACCTTCTCAGGATGCAAGGGTACCAGTGTGTTCATGTACAATGTGTGACCGAGCAGAATACTCGTTTTACCTACCGTCATGTGGTGTCAGGGATGAATGTAGGTATATCTTTTATTTTCATCATACCTAGCACTTCCGGGTGCCCAATGGAGACCTGTAAGTAGGGTAGGGTCGGTTTTCTATTGGACACCCATTTGGATGACCCTGGTATATATTGCATGCACGGGGTTGCTTCCCAAACATGCTTTCTTAAAACGATGGTTTCCAGGTCTCCAGGCTGCACGTGGCCCACAGTCCAAGGCGCCCGGTTTAAGCGAGAGCCTACACGCTTGACCTGTATAGCTTTCCATGAAGAAACCTGGTCCTCCTCACACACCTTGGAATTATCATGGAAGTGGATGGCTCCGAAAGGACCATGAAATCCTCATGCCCAAACAGCTGGGCCATGACTAGTCACCATGAATTCTTACGAGTGGCATTTCGTTTCGCTCCCCGAGGGCGCCCATCCCCACACGCTCGATTTTGGCGATCGCACGACGGACATGGTTCTCTCGCGCGACGACGGGGCCGATTCGCCCCGTGACATTCCGTGCAGTTCAGGTTCGTCACTGGGTGAGGCTCCTCCACCGAGCTTGCTCGTGTAGAAAAAGACGGGGGACACACAACACCGCGACCGTGCACGGTCACCCGGGGTGTCCCATCTAATTAAAGAAGTAATATATGTTTGACTTCCGGATGTAAAGCGCTTAAGCAGCTTCATGAAGAAAGATTAGGCGTAGAAAGTTCAATGCTGAGAACCCAGCAGTCCAGCAAATGCCTGGTTGCTTTAGCGGGGCAAGTAAGGGGTGTGTTTGCCCAGAAAAGGAAGACCTGCTGGAGAAGCTCCGGCGGATTTTTCAGATCACTAACTCACGCAAAATCGCAAGTTCCCTAATCTAATCTATGTGCATCATCCGATTCAAGTTCCTACCCTTTGTGCTCCAGCCCAATCAAATTGTTGTCATGCAATCACTCACTGACCTAATATGTTTTTTGGACCCTTGGATGGTTTTGGACCCTTCATTGCAAGGAAAGCAGGTTAAATCAACATAAATCAACTTAAGGACCTAGCACTTCCAACGGGTGCCCAATGGAGACCTGTAAGTAGGGTAGGGTAGTCTATTGGACACCCATTGGATGACCCTGGAACTTAAGGATGTAAAAAGAACTCTTTGATCCACGCCACATCCAAACGTTCCGATTTGCTCAGTTTATTTGAGATGACACGGGAAATGTGCTGGCCCATGCTAGCCCTAGGAAAGATGGCCTCCATATGCCTCCATATAGAGTTCAAGAGGATGGCATGGAAAGCACACCAGGACCATACAATGAGTGTTCAATGGACTTCTCGGTGATCACACGTCCTGACTGCCTCAGAAAATCATGGAAAATCAAGGGTTAGCCATTTCCCACCTGTTCCTCTTAAGTGGTTGCCCCCCCTGTTTCACCAAAGGAGCTGACCTAAATGATCCACGTACCGCGTGCCACTGCCCAACACCCTGCCGTCGCCTCACCTTCCACCCCGTACAGCAGCGTTTTAGGAAGACTCTCCTGGCTCGAGCTAAGCTGGACATCGGTGGCTTGAAGGTGTCACGAAGTGGACTTCGTGGCCTCACATTGACGAGAGGATTCTTCCACTGATTCAGTGGAGGATATGGATATGTGACTGTAGTCAGTGGAGTCTTCACCTGTACAATCTTCAACTGGCCTCCTTCTGACTCGGATTTTTTAGAATTTGGACTCTCCACACGGACTCGACATCTTGCATCTGCATCTCCACGATCAGGTTCGGGTTGGGGAGTGAACGCCCATGGCGCCAATTTCACCAGTCGAATTGAATTGCTCTGAGGGTGCAAATATTCCCTGAACTGCAATGCAAGAACGTCACCTGCTAAAGAATGCACTTCGGTCAACATGCGCCAGTGCGGGAAAACCATGGGAAAACCACGCATTTGTTGTTTCACTGCCACTGAACATGAGTGGGAAACTCCTGGTCCTTGGCTGACGGATGTTGACCAAAACCCACCTGCTTTGTAAAGCGTTTCTTTCTTTGTTGCCTGTACCATCCATTGGTCACCATGCTGTGTTCGGGGCGTCACTGCACACCACAGCCGACACAAAACCCGGCCTTAAAAAATGCACCCATTGACACAAAGACCCCACCCATTGGTCACCACGTGCCTGCAAAGAAAATGGAACTCTGCACTCCAAGTCCAAGGGAGGGCTGTCGAGAGATATCGATGTCTAGGGCCGTCTATGGGAAGCCATGACTCCGGACCAGGCTCTCCCCGAAACGCCTTTGATCATCTCGCTCGCTCGTTGCACAGCCGCCAAAAGGCCTAACTGCAGGTACGCAGGACCCGCTGCGCCAAGCGCAGCGAGTCCAAGGGGTCCACCGTTGCAAGGCTTTGGCCATATATCCCTTGGCCGAATCCCGAAGCACCATAGTTTTGCTAAGGACTTTACATTGCAAAACCTGGTCAACCATTTGTTTTATGGTCTTGGAAGTCTGGGGGTGCATCACTCCACCCTAAAAATCCGGGGCCCTTCCATGGCAGGGGCCAGACACCGAAAAGAAGGGGTCCGGACCCTCAAAACCCTTTCCCATTTAAAGGCCCGGATTCTTAGGGCAATGTTGATTGTTCATTTGGTTATTTGTCTCACAGTCAGCTAGCATCTCAACAATCTTGGCTGGTAGCCAGAAACTAAAGGATCGAACTACTACTGCATCCATCACAAATACCCCATGTTGTCCCATGTTGTGGCTGCTGGAGCAATAGAGGATAGAGGTATACCAAACGTAGGGTGCACCCAAGTTCAGAGTACATGAATGCACATGAAGCTAAGTCTACCAAAAAGACGTTCTCCCTGAGGGAAAAAACAGGTTGACAACTTTGCATTTCAGTGGGCACAATCCATCTATCAAAAAGGTTGTTGCAAAACATCTGCTTAACGTCCTGAGTGTACATGAACTTGTACATGACACCTATCGCAATTGCACCAAAATCTCCCAAGATTTGGCTTCGCATAGGGCCTGCTGAAGGGCCGCCATAGCCAGCCTGGCGTGCGAACGGCGTGCGAACGACGCGGGCTGTGCGACTGGGGGTGACTGGGGCGTGAGATCAAGTGGAAGCTTGGTGGTGCTTCAGGCTGGGTAATTCCTACATGTGTAGGATGGTGGGACCTCTTGCTCTCCCGTGACCTCTACCATGAAAATGGGTGATTGCGGATTCGATGGACCAACTTACTTAGGTGTGGACCGACTCGCAGGCCGTTCGGAACATGCGAGGCTCCAGGCCAGGCTTCACCACTGGCTGCCAAGCCGCTTCACCTCATTCCACCTGGTTGGCTCTCACTGGGGCATCCCCAATGACCCCCCAAAAAGGGGTGAAAGGATGGTGACGATCCACTTTTAACCTTGCGGATTCCATTCCAATCGCCAACCAGGTGTGATAAAATTCTGACCAAGCCCCCAAAAAAGAAGTCCACTTCGGCTGTCTTGTTGCACCACCGAAGTAAGTAAAGGAAATTCCGAACTTTGGGTCACCGAAGTAAAGACCAATTTGTTTAAAGAGTCGACTGTCGACTGGACTGCCGCAACTAGACCAATCCACAACACCCGGTGATGCACAGAACAGCACTCAAACGGACGAGCTGCGAGAACACCAGGCAAAGCCTATAGGCTGAAGGGCCTTCAGCCCGTTTCAACTGTTGAGGTCCTCAAATGCTTGTGACGCAGTGATTTCGCGGTCAGTTTGTTGCGACAGCCCTGCGGAGTGGGTGATTGCTACTGAACTTCCCCAGCACCACGGCAAAAGACTCTCGCGACTCACTAGAGTGGTTTGCGCTATATTTTCAACTTCCATGCTAGTGGGTCAGATGGCATCCTTTTTGTAGGGTAGTCCGGCATCCTAGTTTCTACAGCTTCCCTGGACGTGGAAGTCCACAATGGATCAAACACGTTGGACGAACGGAAGTGGAGGGACGCCCAAACAATCGAGGAACCACTGGATGGTCTTCGACCATTACTAACCACTTCGTTGAAGGCCACAAAGCAACGGTCACAACCACATTCTGAGAAACCATCATGGAAGCGGGAAAACCACCACCAGCTTGGTGGGAAGACCTGGTCCTCCTGAAACAGGGCGCAAACCATCACTTCACCGCCATGGCCCTGGATGGATCCAGATGACCCGGCATGTGCGGAGACAGGTGCTGTGGAGGGTCGGTCCACGTGTCCAGTCAGGTGATGTGGTCAGCGGCCCCGGTGAGGCCCCCCCAAGTGCCTTCGGTTGGTCAGGCTCGGCTGCAACGAGAGGACCTGGTAGGGGAAAGAACCGTGAAACAACGCAGAGAGAAGCCAGGTCGGTCCAGCTTCGTGCTGACGGTTTCCATGATCGGGTTATGGGCCATCAACTTACTCTTTGCTCTGAAAGGGTCTGGTCCAACGATGCTGACGCGTGTCACCGGAAACAATGGGACCTGCCTTCTTGCCTCTTCACATGACATCATTATCCTTTCTTTTTGGCCGCCCCACCCTTGGACCCAACACACGAGGGCCCAAACCCTGCCCAGAGCCCAGGGTTGACGCGCCAAGATGGAATCAATCGGAAAAAACGTCGCGCCTTGGACCGCTACTTAGCCCAAAGAGTCCCATACACGCCCTACCTGGGACTGCCAGACTGCCGCCCCAGACTTGACCCCCAAACCCACCCCTGGCCGTTTTGAAGGCAGTCCGACATGGCAGTCCGCATCTGGGAGTTGAATGTGTGGCTCCAAGAGAAGAGCCCCATCCAACAGACAATGGAACACCTTCGCCGGAGCATCCATCCGATCCACTGCTTCCGCCGGCGACAGACCGCGTGGCACGTGCCCCCGCGGGTGATCCGTTGGACGCACGATCCCGCCATGGCCACGTCCCGCTGCGTCGGTTTGGACCAGCCTGTGGTGCTCGTGGGGCTGGGGACGGTCTCAGTCTTCTTCACCTGCTGCTTTCACGTCCCGCCAGGGTCATGCAGCTAGCCAGGTGCCCTTCTTGCTCCCTGGAAAGAAGGGGAACTCATGCTCACACCAAATCATCTAAGAGCAACTGAGCTGCACTCAGTCACGGCAAACGTTTCAAATGCTCAGTCACCCTGACATGACCCCGTCGACATCTTCATGAGTACATGGAGTTCACGACAGATCAGGGCAGCTAGCTAGCAGGGAGATTGGAATTTGAGGCTTGTCCCATCTGTGGGGCAGGCAGGCCGGTCATAAAAATGAAGGTATACGACTGTACATGTATGTAACATATTCCATGCATGGATGGTCGGGTTAACCTGGGCTTCGGGAGGGGCATCGAACTTGAAGATCACGTCACATACTCACTGCCGGAAGCTTTACTTACACTATATAGAGTGCACTCTATATACTCCCCTATAGGATCCATGGATCCAAGTGCTAAGTACCTCCTCAACAGGTACGTGGACCCTCCTGGCACCCACCCCAGTCCACCTTCTCAGAGGCTACGACTGGGGGGCTCTGAGCTTCAACTGTCTGTGTCACACGAAGCTTTGCGGCAGCGAAGGTCACTTCCTTCGGGCCTCTGCTTCGGCCGCCGCCGTCGCCTGGTCGACCTGCGGCCAGCGGGGGCGGAGCGGCCCCGCGGCCAGGCTGTGACAGTGGCTGTGACGTGCTCCGGTGAACGGTGTTTGAGAGGTTCCGGAGATCCCCATTGTGCTCATGTGTGTGGACCGTGCAGTTTTACATTCTATAGGATCCCTGCCTAGAAATCCAATGGACTTTTTATTGCCCCTCCCCAGTCAAGGAAATTACCTTTCGGATCCCCGAGATTCTATATAGGTGCTTCATAGCATTTTATAGCCATGGAGGATGGGGAGACGTCCAAATTTCATCTCGCCAACATTTGGGCCAGCGAATCACGGCTGGGAGTCCCTGTCAAAGAATCGATGCAAGTGGTTCCGAACCAACCAGAGAGGATCTTGTTTGCTCCGAACAACTACGAACCCAGTCGCCGAGTCGCCACCACCGGTTCAGATCCGCTGACTTGACTGGTTCAGTTGTCGAAGTGTCGGATGGAGGTGGAACACCCCTCAGTCGGTGGAGGACGGGGAAAATAGACCATGCAGGACCACCCACCATGGGTGTTCAATGGACTACAGTATACTAGAGTAACCACCCTGCACGTGCTCTGAGGTACGTTGATTGGGGACTCTTTTTACGCTCTTTGATGGCTTGGAGGGTCCAATCACCTTCTCTAGAGGGTGGCAGGTGGATCCTTAGGGACTTGGGGAGTGGATCTTCTCGCCTTCTCCTTGGAGAGCGGATCCTGGGGCTGCTCCTTGCGCAGTGCCGCCAGCAAATCGTTCAGCATGCCCTGGCGGAAGCCGCGGCACGTCGGTGCGGGGTGTCGACACCACCATCATCACCACTGCGCTGTGAAGGACGCGTGGGTTGAGACTGTACTTGTGGAACAGGGGCTCGGGGCTCGGGGCTCATGTGGAGTGGGGGTAGTACCAAAGCGGCTCAGAACCATACCGGCCCTCACCTGTAATCCACGCGTAATCCATAAGTTCTTCTTCTGCAACTTTTTCTTGTCTCCCCACGCCCCACCTTTCCGTGAATCTCATTCATCGGATCTACTACAGCTGTTGCCGCAAAGCAGGGCATGGAACCAAGTCTTGAGCTTCTATGACTTCCAGCTGCGTTTCCCGAAGGATCCGCACCTGAAAAGCGTGGTGATCCGCACCTCAAAAATCCTCCACCTTCAGATTCACCTCAACCAGCCCTCCCTTTCGGCCTTTCCAAAGGCCGGAACCACCTCCTACGGGTGGCGGCCTCCAGCACGGTATCGCCGCTGGTCACGGCCTCGGGCTTGGCCTCGCCGCATGCTTCGCGTCACAAGACCGCGAGGATCGAAACAGATCGGAGACCCTCCAAAAACGGGTTCATGAGTCGTCATGTTCAGATGACCTGGAACGCCAATTGACCCCAGATGGAGAGGAAAAGGCCCTCTTTTAGGTGGTTGGTGGTCCAAAATAGGTCATTCAGGTTCTAGGACCCTAGGAAACAACATGCCCTGTTCTGGGCCGGGGTGGCGCTTTGAGGCCTAAACATACTACCACGTGGCAAGGACCATGCTTTCGTGGGATGGACTGCCCTACACGACTGGAACCCCCTGCAACAGCACCTGAATTCCAACATCTGGGGAGGACCACTCCCGCCCCCTGGAATGTCCCAAACACTCCATGTATGCCATATATGCCTACATTGACCCCCCTGGCACCACCCCAATGTAGGTAAATATGCAGTGTCTGGGTGTTGGACTACCTCTCCCAAGCCCAAAACGGCCTCGAGAGCTGACCCGATCGCATGCTGGAACGTCCAACGGTCCGCCCAAGTTGGTGGGACTGAGGGTTCCATCATCACAGTTATGGCATGTGATGATCACGGTCCGATATGCAGTTCACATCCAAGGGGGGTGTCCAAATGTCAAGGTCACCTGAATACCAGGGGCCTTTGTTTAAATGCTTTGGAGGCTACATACTTGCCACTTACCTGCTGCTTGTATGCACCGTGCCTGGTTCATAGATGTTGCCACAGATGCAATACAGTACCCGAAATTCTGATATGGTTTGAGATACCACTATGTCTGGCCAAGCACTTAATGCATGCTTCATTTCGTCTCCTGCAGATTATGAACTTCAGTGAACTTCATAATAGCCATTTGGGGCCATTTGTATCAAAGAGCTTCATGACAAGTGCCTCAAGGGCTCAACGCTTTAGCTTTGAAGATTTGCCCTCAAGATTTCTTCATCACCGAAACCACCTGCGATCCTGCGGCAGCCACTTTAGGTGCTCTGAGATCCCAGGGCTTCAGCCCAAAAAGCACGTCGCGCAGTGGTCCAACGAAGGGAAATAGTAGCGACACCCTTTCCTCCTATAGTAGCGTTCTTGCTCCTACTAGTAAGGCCAGGAGCCCCTATAGTAGCGCCCTTGCTCCGCCTAGTAGCGATGCCAGGAGACCCGATCGTAGCGTCCTGCAACCCGTTTTTCGGAACACTTCGCCGAAGTCTTTGGACTCATCCCCCTGAAGATCCTGAAGGGTCACTTGTGTTGGCGCGGACATGTTCTCATTCTCCATTCCATGTCCCTCCAGTTGGGTTGGCCTCCACCGGTTTGTTCTCATTCTCCTTGGCCAGTTCGTACAACCTGGAAGTGCACCATTAGGTGGAGGCACCAGCCCTTCCATGTCGGGGTGCTTAATTGGAAGGCTGAGGTGCAAGCAGCATCCAGTCACTTCGTCTCCAGAACCACCCAGGTTCGGAACTGGGAACTCCGGACTCAGCCGTATACTTAGGTGGAAGTACGCAGGGCGTCGCGGCTTGGCGGCTTGGCCTCTCCTTTTTGGGGTTCCCGCAGCCTACAGATCCAACTGATTGAAGGGTCTGTTCCTCACCCTGATCTGGACACGTTCGTGGATCCATGAGGTTTTTTCACGGGGGGGTCAGAAATAAGAGACTTCCCTCATCTCCCCACATCTCAAGATTCTCGTAGATTCCCAGAGCGAATCCCTCACCTACTGCCACCGGAAAAAAAGAACTGTCAAGCAGCGACAGGTCGGGCCATCGCGTCACGCCCGGGGTGATGTTTCGAAGCTTCAAATCTCCACTGGGACCTCCTGAATTCCAACCGAGAGACCTCCCAAGTGAGTTCGACCCGGGATGTGTGACGGGGTCTGCTGGGTGACGGGAAGATCTGCGGGGGTGATGTGGTGATGAGTCGGTACACGCGCCATCACGCGCCATCACGCGAACAGTTCCCAGACACTCCATGTATGCCATATATGCCTACATTGACCCCCCAAACCACCCCAATGTAGGTAAATATGCCATACATGGAGTGTCTGGGGTTGATTTGAGTCGGTACAAGTAGCATGGTTTGAGGAACGGAACGCATGCCCCCCATGGATCACCCGGAGGACTGAGGATGTCGGCAAACAATCGCAACGCCAAAAATAGCTAAACCAATTGCTGCCCGAATTCCATTGCCACTTACATCATCATTAACCCAGTCTATATGCACAATTACAGTATTTACATGGCAAAAGAGTGGAACACCTTTTGACCTCTGAGCCCTGAGAACTTGACGCAAAGCCTCTTTCAAAACATGTCAAAAACATTGACGCATGGAGAAACAAATCTCCTTCCCCGATGTCAGCACCCACCTCTGACCAGGGGGTCGGCGACCGGGTCGCCTGAAGTAAGAGGCATGGGACTCGTCAGACCTTTGCCCGCTCTTCACCGCTCCTCCTTGAAGTACCCCGCCTCTGCTTAAAGACTTCTTGTGCCAATGGCTCAACTGCATCGGCCATCTTTGGAACGGACCCACCAACGGATGCAACCAATGCCGCGTCTGGTCGACAGGTAGAAGGAACGGACCCACGGCAGGTGTTTGGGATCGTCACGATGTCGCTCCTGGACACACAGTTCTTTACAGCTGACACATGTTTTGCATCTGTGATGCTCTTTGGGCAAAAAGCTGTTGGAACCTCATGACATGTTCGTCGCTGCTTGGAGACCGTCTCTTGTGCTTGGTTGCGGTGCATGTCGAGTGGCGCGACCGTCCGGGTGACGGACAGCGGGCATTCCGCCGGATGGGGGTGTCTTTCCGGAGCTGGCGGATCCGCCAGGAACAAGGACTTGGATTTGCTTAAGGAACCGGGGATCTACCCATAGACCTAGGCTTCCAACCACCATTAAACTAATAGGCTTACCAAGTGTTACTAAGGATTTTACACTACAAAACCAGGTCAACATATATGGTCAGCCATGTTTAATGGTCTCGGAAGTCTAGGGATAGGAAACAAAGAACAGCAAAACCAGGTTATAGCCTGGAGTCCTTTGCTAAAAGCCATTCCTGGAGCACTTTAGAGTCAACATCTTTTTCCAACTGACTCCCGAACCGGAGATGTTTGTGGAAAATTAAAGGTCAACCGAACTTGTTAGTGGAGAGTCGCCAAAGAAACAAAAGGCTTTGCATCCTCTGCGCAGGAACATACTCAGTTGCGATTCGGATCATTCACATCACATCTATTTGGCGCCATTTGTGTCGATGGAACACACTCATTTTCAGAAAGCCTGGCAAAGCTTTCTGCCCTTGAAATGGACCCTCTTTTTGCCCTTTCAGAAAGGAAGGAGTGGCTGTTCCTTGTGAATGGCCAGTCTTGGGGGACCTATCGAACCCATGCCATCGCTGGAACCACAGATGAGATGCTCTAAAGCACCTTGTACAGTGCTGGCAGTGCTGGCAACAGCTCCAGTCACCGATCACCCAAAATCAAAAAGAAACCATGTTCTTTGCACAACTCCATGACCCAGGGATTCTGGAACCATCGAAAAAAGAGAAACAAGGCTCGGGTCAGTCTAACCCGCACATCGTATCATCGCAAGGTGAGAAAGGACATAAGATGACAAACCAACCACCGACTCCGAGTACCCCAAACTCGTGGATGCCCTGAGTCGGAAGGAGCTCGTCCTACCTGGGACCTCCTGATGGGGACGGCCAGGGACATGGGGGGAAACGAGGTCTGAGAACTCTAACCCAAACGCGACCCATGGGACTGCCACTGGGACTGCCGGACTGCCTTCAAAACGGCCAGGAGTGGTGTTAGGGGGGTCGGCCTCTGGAGCGGCAGGCCTATACCAGCTCCCATTGGTCGTGTATGGGTTAGAGTGCTGATTGGATCGATGTCCAGCTTTCGACTTCTCAGACCCCCACGAATTCGATGCGCCGGATGCCGAGGCCGCTTCGGCGTCCTCGATCCGTCCACCGCGGCGGTGGATGGAAAAACCAGAGTGACACAACCTGTAGATCCCCCACATTCTGGAAAGAATTCGGTTGGCATGTCCGCATTCTTCCAGCTAGGTGGGTAGGTAGTGCAGCTCCAACTATAGGGAACTCCAGCCCAAACACATCCTTTGGTTCCTCCTCTTGGCGGTGCACAAGTCGAACCCCTTTGTCGCACGCGAGCAAGTCTCCATGGGACTGGCATCTTTGGCACAGCAGTCGGGGTCGGTTGATGTTGATGAAATCAGGGGCCGCAGATCTGCGGGCGAAACAGAAACCTCAGAGTTCAGGCGTCATCCCAACCGTGCTTTTGTACAAGGCCACAGCTTTGGCAGGTCCAATAGACCTGGGCAGGACGGATTCACATGACATGATTGGCACTTCCAAACCTCTTGAGCCCGATTCTGAGCCGCTTCTATGAAGAATAACTGCTAATTGCTAACTGAAGCTTGCATTCCCGTTCCATTGATTTGTAATAGTCAGGCGGCGGTTTGAGAATTTGAGAACAGGTCGCCCAACAAAACAAGGAGCTTGAGGTCTTACCATTCAAATCGGAGCACCAATCAAGGATCGTCTGCAAAAAGTCACCTACCTGGGGATGTCCTGAAGTTTTTTTGAAGTCTGCCCTAAGAATCCTGACCCTCCATAAAAGGGGTCTACGAGGGGTTGGTACCATTTGGTACCCTCAAAACCCTCGTTTTTGAGGGTCAGGTCCTTACAGTAGGGTGGGCCATTTCACCACTTGAGTTGGTCAAACCATCCATCAAAAATCATCAAAACATCCAAAGTGCCTGAAGCGTTTGCATCTCCAAGGTTCCATAGACATCTACAGTTGACCTCCAATGGTTGCACGAACCCCAGGCCGACAGCCACCATTCAGATAGATGATCTAATCACCCTTTACCGAACGACCATTGTTTTACATTGTTCGACCAAGGGCTTGACACGACAAAAACCAGGTCAAACATGGTCAACCGACCTCTTTTCACGGTCGAAGGCGGCTCCCGCCGCGGTCGCGGTGGTGGTTGAGCCTCGACGGAGTGGCGGAGCCTCCGTGAACGGACCCCGGTGGGGGGTGTCCTTTCCCCCATTCGGATGCGGTGTTTCAATGTGTTTCCATGCTCATCTTCATCCCATAAGCCCAAGGTGCCCCATACCAGGAAGTTTCCACGAAATGGAGGCTGAAATGGAGACTTCAAGGTCGCAGGTGGTGACCTGTGAAGTCGGGTCCTGGTCTGCGATCTCCCTCCTTGGCCAATGCGATTCAGGCCGCAAAGCCATAGCCATCTCCATTCCTCCGGCAGCCATCTGTGGTGCGGATCTGTTTGCCAGTCAGCCTCTCCTGACAGCGAGGGCAGACCTCCTGCCTCAGTGATGGCGATAGATGTGAGGATACAACACCTCTCCGTCACCCCTCAACAAAAGGTCACGATTTGGGCTAGATGTCTTTACGGTTCGTCCGCTGGGGGTCGTCCGCAGGTCAGTCTTTACCTGCAAAGAATCAATTCCTCACAATCTCATCGCGGCCCACGGCCCCTGACCACCTCACTACCGCCTGATTACCGCCAGACTCACTTGGAGCTCTCAACCACCAGCTGCATTGGTCGAAGAGTTTGGGCTGAAACCTCGCCGCCCAGGTGCACGGTGCCCCTGTAGCCCCAGCAGGCTTCGTTGGGGCCCGGGGTGCAGGTGCAGTTCGGATACTGCACCAAATGAGTTCCAGCCACATTCGTCACCTTTGGCGGCCGGAACCGAAGAATTGGAGGTTCTCCGTTTGGAGAGGAAAAGGATGGGAGGATAGGAAAAGGAAGGGCAGCTTCAAAATGGGGATGCACATGGTTCAACTCGTTGTTATTTGAAGTAAGAACCCCATAGCTTCGCTACCTGGGGAATTAGATGTTGTTCGTGGTGGTCATTCTTTTTGGCCCCCTCCGCCACGCCGGGCGGGCACGAAGGTGTTGCACGGACCAGTTGTTGCCAAGGAAGGTCACCGGCGAACGTACGACCTTGCAATTTCAGGAAACCAAACGGCTATCAAAGAATGGGTTCTAAGATTGACTTCTTATGAATTGATCATCATTATGACCCGTGGTTTTGTTTTTTACAGTTTCCTAGTCCCAAAGTGGTTGGGATTTGGTCCACGGACCGCTGATGCTCTGCTGATCAAAAACCTGGCACAGCAACTCCATGACTTTTGATATCCATGGCAGTGGGGCTAGTTACCTTGGCTTCTGATATCCATGACTTCTTGGTGGAGGGGAGAGGTGGGTTTCTTTAGGAAGCCGCCTGGCTTTAGGGCTTCTTGCCCACCTCTTTCCACGGTCCATCCTCCCAAGCACCGCCACACGAGTATGTCACAACAAACCCGCCAAGTCATGGGGGTTAGTCAGTCTCTCTTCTCTTTGCCAGGTGGGTCAGGGGAATTTTTTTCCAATTACATGTTCCAACAATATATTTACCATTATTAACCTGTGAATTGCCACAATGATTTCATGTGAATCTACTCAGGGGTGTTCCTGAATATGTTCCACCCAGACACTCCAAACAGCCCTTGGTCCCTCAAAACCATAGGGATTTGAGGGTCCAAACCCCTCCATATGAGGGTCCGACCCCTGCATATGAGGGTCCAGGAGCGTCTGGGCAATTAACTATTCTGCATGGTGATCTATTAATTCTTCATGTTCCAACACATAGCCACAACAGCACGCTTTCTTGCAAATGGTTCATTTCACCTGCCCCCATGTGGTGGTTCCAGCGTGGAACCATGCACCACACCCCCGAGAAAAAAGCAAGAACTGACGGTTCTCGCCGAGGTGCGGTGACGTCCTTGACCAGTGTCAGACACACCTGGCACATCCAATGCAGGTAATGTAGAATCTTGATCAATAAACCCACCCAGTTCGCTGTAAGAGGTCTTTCAGTTCATTAGGGCCAGGATCATGCAAATCGAGGTCCACAAGCAGTGTAGGGTAGTCATGGGTAGTCTATTGGACACCCATTGGATGACGCAGGGGGGGGTGTTTAGTAATCAAGTAGATCTACATGATGGGAATCGTTTGAGCCATTTCGTTCCGCTCATTTCGTCACTCGACTGACAGTGACAGTGTGCACACCTGCTACGTGCACCGCTAGGTCCGCGGTCGGTGACTGGGTCGGTGCACAGCTTCTCCACCGATCCCGACCGGCCTCGCGCCGGCCGAAAGCGCGTGGAACGCGGAAAGCACGCGCGTGGTCGTCACAGTCCTCGTCTTGCTCGTTCAGCGCCTTCACGAAGCTTTCCAAGCTTTCAGCCAGCTGCTGCTCCTGCCCAAGCCGTCACCACACCCACTGAAGCCGTTCAGCTTTCGAAGCACGCAAGCGCTCCAGAAGCCCCTTCCAGAATGAATCTCGCAAATGGAATCAAGTGGATAAACTCTGTTGGATAGTCTCGCAAAGGCTCAGGACATACTTTGTTCTGGGCTTGCTGAGCCAACCTCTCAAAAAAGAGGGAAAACAAAAACACATTAGAAAAAAGCTTGTGCAGGATCCACTGGAATTTGGCTGCTACGAGTGCCGTGCTTTGTTCCATTCTCCGTTTTGGCCTGAGGGCTTCTGCACCTGCACCTGCACGTGCTTGAAAGAAAGATGGTCCAACTCGACTCCCGGAGGAGAAATTCTCCCCAGCAGAGAAACTCACCTGAAAGAGCAAGCGCTGCTGGTAGGTTGGCACCTGCCAGGGCCACTGTGGTGATGGACTGATGTTGGCCGGGCCGGTCAGGGTCTCACACACATGCCCATGTTGCATATATAACCACCCAAATCCACCAACTGTAGCGGTCATTTTTGCATACATGGGAGGGTCTGGGAACGATTTTAAGCCATGTTTCCTTAGCTGCCCAACGCGACAGTCCTGCCTTCACGCTAGTGACGACTGAAGGTCCTGCTGACCTCAAATCATTCCACTTACCCCAGGAGTTCTTGGGTAGTAGAAATTGATGCTAGGAGCGAGCACCAGGACCTTCGGATCCCTCGGTGGTAGCCTTTTGGAGTGGATTTCTCTTCATGTCTACGGATGTCAGTTTTCACTAAGGTCTATGATACAGGGAAGGAGTGGGTTTCTATACAGTTTTCTAGATGTCTATGATACAGTTTCACTAAGTCTAATCCAACCATCTCCAACTCTCACGGACCTCGGTCTCGCCCGACTCCCGTGGTCTCGCCGCGTCCTCTTCCGTCGATGGACCCACGCGATCCACGCGTCCCGGTTCCGCGCGGAAACGGGGCGTTCCGCGGCCTGGGTGGCTTCTGCAATGGCTTCTTTGATCTGCTGCATGGACCTCGAGATGCTTCCAGGAGTTCGGAGTTCCGAGTTCGGCGTCTTTCCGAGTCGAAGAGAAGAAGGCTCGCGTGGTCGTTGGACGAAAGGAGGGGAGGGTCTCCGCGTTCCAACTGTGGGGGAAGTAAACGATGTGCGTGAGTTCATGGATGAGGGTAATGGTCGAAAAGAACTGGTTGTGCGATTCAATATCCAGTCCATCTTTGAGCATAGTGAATTGAGATCACAACTCCTTCCGGATGCCAACAAAGCTCGCACCTGGGAGAAAAAACTGTCCACAAAAAATATTATACATACCGTATAATGTGTTAGGCTGAGTTGTCTGAGTTGTGTCATATTATATACCCTGGAAGTCAAAGACCTTTTTTAGAATGGTTGATCTGGTTTTCTAGTGTAAAAACCTTAGTAAAACAATGGTGGTCCGACTTCTAGGGTATATATATATATATAATAAATGGGTTTGTCAAGTGCGATCGTGTCAAAGTTGGACAACGACGATGGCTCCGAGAGATGTTTGAGTGGTGGTCGCTTCATCGCGCAAGGACACGCACTTGGACACCCCTTCGCTCAAAGCACCTCAAAGAAGGCCGGGATATCAAGATCACTCTCCACATGGCTCGCCTCACGCTATATACAATCACCCTCCACATGGCTCTGCTTTCACCAAGAGTCATCTCCGGCTGCAGGGTTGCCATCCCCAAGTCCTCCCCAGTGAGTGCAGAGCGCACGCACAGCGTCTGGGGAGCGGAGATGGAGAGGCGCAGTTCGGTAGTCCTGAAGTTGGCGACTTTCGAAGGTTTCATTCAATGATGTCCTTTGGGGAATGTTTGTGGGTTGCACACCTGGGTGCCATATACCGAACTTGCTTGTACATGACCAAGGGGCATTTGCTCCATGAAGCAACCAACCAACAGTAAGAAAAGGATGTAAAAGGACATCTTTGGCTCCACTCGGCGCTCCAGAAGCTAGCCCTTAGGCATTGGAACCTGCTCTTCAGGGTAGAAGCGCTGGATTGCGCAGCTTACACCATTCTTAGATGGCAATCTATGAACATCTCTACCTAGATAGACTAGATATCTACAGCGGGTTCCCATCATGGCACAACCCACCAATGTCTTGTTCTTGTGCCATCAACTCCTGGGAGTATTTTCAGCTCATGCCTCCAAAGGATCCTGTCCATCCTGACTGAACTGAGTTCCAGCCCTTTTCGCGTGAGGAACCCGAATCTTTTGCACATGACTCACTGACTCATGGTGTGCACCCATGAGAGGGCCCTAAATGGGCCAGCGAAGGCCGCCGCTTCACCATTTCGGAGAGTTCCGCGTCACCGATTTCGGACTGCCTTCATGCCCCTGGTTCTCAGTGAGGATCCAGAATTCCAGGTGTGGGCGTTTAAGGAGATGGAGGATTCATGTCCCCCATCACCGCAGATCCCTGGAACAGCCCCGACCGTTCTTTCGGGAAGGCGCAGGGGGAAACCGATCTCCGCCGGGGTGTAGGTCCGTTTGGTCAAGGATCTCGCTGCTGGCGGCGTGAGCAAGAACGCTCCGCATGCAGCCCATGCGGTTCCAAAGACTAAAAGCCCACAGACCTAGAAACCTGTACTGTAGCAGTGGTAACTGGAGGAGAAAGCCTGTTTGCTGATTTGCTATTCTTTCCTTTCTCTATCTTTCTCACTTGCAAATTAACATGTGTTGAGTGCTCACGCCGTCAGTTCTGAGATTGCTTTCCTCATGACATCATTGAAGCACAGCTCGCTGCTCGCTGCGGATGTCGTGGCTTGGCGGAAAAAGAAACACTTGTGGACCTCCCAGAACTGGGACCGGGGCCTTCTCTTCACCGAAAAACGTGGAGAAAACGGGTGGAGAGGAATCCGGGTCCAGTATCCCCCAAACCCGATGTGCTTACTGTCCAGCAACTCTCAAAAAATATGCCAACAGAAGAGATTCCCCAGGCAAAAAATTTCAGCAGAACATATTCCCCAACATATTCAACAGAACATACAGTATTCCCCAAGGAAAAAATAAACACATGCACCTTTTCTCCACCAAACCCGATGTGTTGCGGCCTTGGATTCAATAGGCTTGGCCGAATCACCAGCACCTTCGTCCAACCCCGAATCCGCAGGTGTCGGGCCCGTTCGGAGTCTTAGGGTGGTCAAATATGCTTCAATTTTTACAATATCCCTGGAAGTCAAGTCGGCCATTTTTTAAAATGGTTGACCTGGTTTTGTAGTGTAAAGCAATGGTTGTTTGGTAAAGGCCATTAAAACAATGGTAGTTCGACTTCTAGGGATATTCCAATAGGTTCTTGTGCACCAACTCGATGAGGTCAATGGTGGTGCCAGTCCCACTCACACTAACAGAATTGATCTGAAGCGATCTTGAATGGGTCTTGTGTAATTACCAAAATTGCTAAAACGGTCCCAATGTAGGAAGCAAGCTGCATCCTTCCAGTTAGCTTGATGAACATGTGTTCACGGCGCCGCCGTGAAACACATGGCGAAAAACAAGTGGAGCTCTGCCTTTCCCCCCCAACCTGCTGGGCATGTTCACAGCCCGCGGTGATGGAGGAATGATGGATCCCCAAAGGTTGTGACACCAGAAAACCGGACACGAGGAGCTTGGTGGTGACACGACTGGTCTTTCGCTCCGGACGGCACGGTCTAGCGCCCTTTGTTCCGCCCGAGCGAGCCACGTCGGACTGCGTGTCCCCGGTTTTAGTGGAGGCCGTGACGAGCCAGAGGCCTTCCATCACAGCTCTGACGTCGGACGCACGCCTCAGCTACAAGTTTGTGAGAGGTTGTGACAAGTCCTAGTCTACATAAGTGTATTGAAAGTAACTATAAGTGACTAAGTGTGTGTGTGTGTACATATATATATACATATACAAAATCAACGGGAACCCAGCTGTGATACATTCATCAATTGAAACCGAACTCGCAAGTTCTACTAGTGTTCTTAAGTTAAAATAGGTTTAGATGGTTTTTCTTTGCCCTGCTGCAGCCCAGCTCCGTGCATCACCTTCCTTAGCCTAGTGGCCTATGCCTGTGATGTCTACATCAACCATTGAAACTTCATTCTATAATTATGCGCAACCATCCTGTAGTGACTGTAGTTGATAGAATATGAACAAAATCCGAACACATGAGCCCATGACCAGCTGGTGTTGTTCTTTTGTTTGCCCATCTAGCTAGCTACTCCAAGATTATCACTACAAACACATCGTATACATCTGCCGCATCGTTCCAACTGATCAATCACTGGAGTCGACCGCTCCGCCGGTCTCATGGTGCAAAACACTCGACCGGTCCCCAGTCCACGGAGTCGACGCTCCATGCCTGGAGGTCGTAGCTTAGCGTCCGAACGCTCCGGGCTCCGGGCTCGGCCCCGGTCGTAGCGAACCTTGGTTCCTCCGCCCCGGTCGTAGCCTGATGGGTCAGTGCCAGACCAACAATCCAAAACCGTCTTTTCATGCGGTTTCGAATCAAAACTAGAGCTCAGTCAAATGGTACGTGGTTTTCCGTGAGTACTCCAGTAATTCATCAACCAACCCAAGGCAATAAAAGCCGATCTGTGCCATATGGAATCATATGGCTTCTATGGAACGTAATGTTTCTCCAACCTCTGAGAGCAGCTCCATAACATAACCCGGAATCAATACGATTCATCATATCAAGCAGGGATAACACCAGGTTTCCAAAAGAAAAGTCTTCACCGCCATTACTCCCTGAAGCCACCATGATTCACCACCAGAGCCCCCCCACAGTTTCCAAATACATCCCGCACTCCAAGGCGCTCTCTCGAACCTTTCACCCTTGGCGCGAGGAAGGCGAGAAAAAGCCGCCGCCGCTTCTTTCCGGATGGCGAGCTCCAACACCCGGGCCATAGAATGGGGACACACTGGCACACCATGCGGTGTCATGTCCCCGGACCAGCGAAAGTGTGGAAAATGCCACACACTTCCTGCAATCATCAGGTGAATTGGTGCCCTTTGGGTTCCATTCAGTTTGGAAGAGAGACAGCGGCGTCGAGGCGGCGATTCGTCTTTGTTTGATTTTATACGGCCGGCCATACCGAAGCCAGCTGAGGCGTATTGCGAAGGTCAAAGGTATGTAATGCGAGTGAATGCAGGTATTGAAAGACATATTCCGCTGCCATACGGCTTGCTTATCAACTCATGCGCATTGAGTCTATTGATGTCAATTCATAGTGCACTAGTATGCACTCGTCCCTGGACCAAAATGCACCCCAAAAGCAGCACCCGCATTCACACGTACATAGTGAGACCAGCGATGTTGAAAGAAAGATGCAGTAGCTCAGAGGTATGTAGTACGTCGTACCCCGTCCCAAGCAAAATTAGAAAAAGTCACTGCATGTACAATCCTCAAACATCCTCAAACTATGTTGATGTCTGGGGGTTGGATCCCTGTTACCCATAGTCAGGCTATTCCAGGATGACTTCCCAAATGAACCAACTGCCAGCATCTTGTCCTTCAAAATACACTGCAGTATACACTGCATGGCCCCAAGCAACAGGCAACCCAACTCAGCCATAGCCTCGTGAGGTCTCCAATTCCTTCAAAAGATTGATCACATCCGTGGACAACGTTGTTGTTGTGGTCGTTGTCCGTCGTCGATACCTCCGATGTTGCCGACGGATTCCAGGCATGCAAAATCCACTCTGGTTATTGAATCTTGGCTCCAGCTAGCGGCTATAGCCTGTATGGCATCAGTACGCAACTGGATGCGCGCACAAACCGTACCACCTCTACTTTCTGATGCGCTACTTCCACCCTCGATTCCCTCATGCAACAGCGTCTGTGATTCAGGGTCTCGCATAGAAAGCAAAGCCACTGAGCGCGCAAAGAAGAAACAGGAACACACAGAAAAGGGTTGAGTAGAAAATAAACACATACATCATACATCGTTCATCATCGTTCTGAATAAAGGGCGCAAAGGAAAACAGGAAAAACACCCATCGCGCTGGGAATCGAGGATTTTCCCGCCGAAACCATCGACCACTTCGCGGACAGATCCACAGCTCGAGGGTGCGAAAGGCGAAGATAGCTGCAAACTGCTGGCTGCAGTCACACACGTGTGCTCACACTTTTGCCCGAAAACGTGCTATCATTATTCCCTAGGGCTCCAACCACATCCTCAGAAGGTGGTTGGGGTGGGTTTGGGTGGTCCAACTACCTTCTGATTCTGATGTGGGATGTTTTTTTCTAATTAGTTTCCTAACCTAAAGAAGACCAACGCCACTACCAACGCCTGCATTTTTGATCATTGGCAGCCTTGAAGAACACTTCCCAAGCCGTGGCCCTTTCTCTCCAGTCCCTTCGACACGAAGGAGTGGTCGAGTGATCGTATCATTTAGATGCGTTTTTAGACTATTAGGGCGAGATGAGAAACCTGAGTTGGCAAGGTTATTGTACAGGACCCCCCCCATGCCAATGAGATTGAACCGATCCAAATTGGAAATCATCTGAGAACTGAGAACCAAATACCACAGAAAACCCCATCTAAAACTGCCACAGGAAAGAGATCTCTGGGCATCATCAGGCTTCTTGCCCCAAAAATCCGCACCACGTCGAAGCGATTCCGCTCACTCCTGCTGGAGCCAAGCAGGAAAAGCAGCAGCGTTGGGGCTATGGCGACCTCCGGGCTGCATTCAAAATCTTCTTTGCCTCTTCATTGTCTGTTAATTGAGTATATCCAGTTATATCTGCACTCTAGATTGGAGGCCACCGCTATGAGGTTGGAGGATGTTGGAAGCTATTGTTTCTAGGTACGTGCGCCTCATGAGGCGACATGAATCCAAAGAAAACCGACCCTAAGAACAACCTTAGACATGCCGCCCAGTCACTTCTCAGCGGCTCAAAGGGGCTTCCCGCCGCTGGAAAGGGTGCCCAGTGGCGAGCCTAACCTCTGTGGCGATGCCAGTCGGTCGCCAATGTACCCAGCTGGTTGACCAACTCTCCTGCAACACTTCAAGGCCACGGAACAAACATCTAAACAAACATTTGGTGAAGAAACCGTCAGCGAAGAAACAAGCAAGCTCCACCAGCCGTCCATGCTGGAAAAACACGTTTTTTCTGTTTGCAATTCTCCCTCGTCATTTGCGAGAAAGGGCCCGAAATGTTTGAGCCTCAAGGTGATCAACATTAGAAGCAAGCCTGGTCTGCGCAAACAAAAAGCAAGACACCAAGCAGCGACAAAAGGACTGGAACGGTTTGACCTGCACTTTCGTACAAATAGAGGTCGTTGGTGAGGGTACAAGTGGTTCCACGGCAACCTCCAAGCACCAATATCGCCCACTGCTCGAAGCCGGGACTGTAGTCCAACCCCTGGCAGGTTTCTCACGCGCCACCATTTGTCAGAACCACGGGGTTTCCTTCTTGGCGTTTGCATTGAAAAATCCTACAAAATTGCAGATCGTTGACCACGAATCAATGATGGATGTTCATAATTCACCCGCAACAACAGGAACAGGAGCAACAGAAGCAGGAGCAGCACGAGCAGCACGAGCAGTAGCAGGAGCACAGGAGCAGCAGCTAGCAGCAGCGGCAAACGAAAAGCACCAGC